TAAGGAGAAATGGATAGAATAGATGGTTCTGTTTCTTGTGATGGTAGGTTTGAGTTGCTTAATTTTATGTGGTGCTCATGGCCTGTAGGCAGCTATTTCAGCTGGTAGACTGTGCACCTCCAAGCAAACCTGATGAGTACGTAGACTAGGAGGAGGCCCACAGCATTCAAATAATTGCATAAACCCCTTTATATCTGCTTTGGGTATAAACAAGAATATTTTTCAGATTATTTCAGTATTTCTTCTGTTACCTGACCAGAGTTCTGTATCTTACAGGTATCTCTGCTCCCAGAAAATGACAGATGGAGTGAAACTAGATCACAGTTACTTGCACAGATGGATGTCTGTATGGGGGGAAGAGTAGCAGAAGAGCTCATATTTGGAAGTGATCACATCACAACAGGTCAGCTGATTGATAGTGAAAAGAATTTTTGATCAAAGCTTGGGGACTGGCATGTTTAACTTGGTTTCAATAATGTCATTTACATCTGTTTGCTGTCTAGGTGCTTCCAGTGATTTTGACAATGCTACTAAAATTGCAAAACTGATGGTGACTAGATTTGGAATGAGCGAGAAGGTACTATCATCAATCCTTAAATATTTATATGGTACAAATAAATGTTCTGTAACTAAATGCCAGTTTGTCTGTCAGTGAGCACAGAGAGTAAGTAGTTCTAGTGAAAAGAAAGTAAGCCTTATGACTGCCCCTGCTATAAAGAACTTGACTGGAAAACCTGTGTATTTGATAGTTAAAAAATTAACTTGCAAGATCTTCACCTCAAAATTACCTTGGAAGTTACTAAAGTCTGTGGAAAATGTTTATAAACACAAACATTCTGGAATTGCAGATAATCTCAAGGTTTGGGGGTGGAGGTGACGGCACTGAGTTTTCTAGACTTCCAAAGAAGCTTCTTTAGTCATCTTTATTACCTGTCAAGTGTTAGTAGTCTGGCGATTTTGTTTTGTTTTGTTTTTTTTTTAAATAAGAAAACAATCAGGATCTGTACTGTGATCTGTTCAAATAGAACTTTACAGTGACTACATAGTTGATGAATAGGCTTCTTGTTTTGCTTCTGTTGCAAGCACTTCAGCAAGCATTTTATTAATGATTTTATTTGTTTGCTCATAGAAGTAATAGGTAATGAAGCTCTTAGTGGTGTATGTGTATTACTGCAACAGTGGCAAGATGAAGATTTTTTTTGTTGTTGTTTAGCTTGGTGTTATGACCTACACTGATACGGGCAAAGTTAGCCCTGAAACTCAGTCTGCAATCGAACAGGAAGTAAGAACACTTCTACGGGTAAGATTCTCTTCCCCTCTGCTCTGAAACATTTGTTTTGAGATGAGTTGAGCATCGGCTGACTTGATTATTCAGTTTGGTAACGTACCCTGGTGAAAATACACACGTGGATGGAAGTATTCCCAAGTATTTAATGTAGCTGCAGCTTTGAATCTCTGCATATCAAAACTTTTTGGTGATTGTCATACACAAGTAGTGAGAAACAAGTTGGTGGTGTTAGGTTTGTTGATAAACACTTTAACACTTCCTCTTACGTTTGGCCAGGATTTGTATTTTGCCTATTCAATTCCTAGTAAAATAAACTACAGCTATTAATTGTTTTAGAACAGATGTGAATGTTTTGTGTTACTCCCACACTTCATAGCTTGAGCTAAATCGTTTTGTATAGAACCACAGGAATGGCTGTATCAGATCAGAGAGTTGCCTTCTCCAGGATCGTGTTCCTCACAGTGATCAGTATCAGATGCTTAGGAAAATTTGTAACATTGATAATCACAGAACTTCCAGATCACTTTTCTGGTAATCTGAGTCAGTTTGGTACAGACAGGAGAATTATTTATATCATAACATTTAAATGATTAACACTTTTGCTGTAGCTGTTTTTGAACTGACTTGATCATGTAAGAACTATTTATGTAGAACTGAGAGTTAAAGTTGAAGCTGGTAGTGCTGGCAGTCTGCATCTACTTGCAGCAACTGGTAACTTGTGGGTAGCTTTCAGCTTTCTTAAAGTACATAATACTTCGAGAGTTTTATAAGCTTTTAAAAACTTTATTCTGAGGTACATTCCTTAAATGCTATAGTGTTGCTGATAATGTCAAATCAAATATATTTAATTTAATCAGCAACTTTTCATATCTAGTAATTCTTTTCTAATTCTTATGTAAAAATACTACAGTTTGTCTCAGGTGGGGGTTTTTTAATTAATTAATTATGCCATCTAGATTTTAAATCTTCATGAGACAGGAGCAAACTATGAAATGTAAGGTACAACTTAAAATGTTTGTTTCAAGCTGTATTTACCTGGAAATAATTTTTAAAATGGAATCTTGCCGCTGTTTTTCTTCTAAAGTCTTAAAAACTCCTTCCACCTTCTTTTCAATATTAGGACTCATATGAGCGAGCAAAGAACATCCTGAAGACTCATGCAAAAGAACACAAGAATTTAGCAGAAGCTTTACTGAAATACGAGACTTTGGATGCCAAAGAAATCCAAATTGTTCTAGAGGGAAAAAAACTAGAAGTAAGATGATAACTTTTGGCATACAGAACAGATAATTTGAAGAATGTACATCTAGCAATGCAGTAGTCTTACGCAGCATAGCCTTTTTTCCCTTCCTGATGTGTGTATGGCATTAGTGACACTTTAATATTATTCTGTCTCCTGTGAGCTTCTGTTACTCATTTATTTGTTGTGTCTCATCAGAATAAGACACACAAAATAAAGCAAGTTCCTCATCCTCTGCTCCCTTTACTCTTCCTACAATAAGTTATTCAGAAGGATAAAATCTCAGGGTTGAATTCAGCATTTTGATTCAGTCAAATGTATTGGAGCTGAGAAGAAGACATGCAGATGTACTGGTGTGTCTTGGCATAGCTTCCTGGGTCATGCTGCTACATATGCTTTTGAAGTGATACCCCACGAAACGTGCTGTGGTGTGGTTTATGGATGGTGACAGATTGATTTGTAAAACAGTAGTATGTAGTCTAACTAATGCTCATACTCTGTTTGAGACTAGACATCACTTTTTTTAAAAAAGACTTCTTATTAAGACATGTAACAAAACATCTCTAAGAATGAATGGGCTTCACAGTGTGTCTCTTTTAAACGGAATTGTGGGAGCTCCGTGCTAGACAAAAACATCAGTGATTGTGTTTTCAGCGCTCTTGGGGTTAACATACACACATGTATGGCTGGGAGAGAAATTTTACTGCAAAAACAACAGACTAAACATGTCTAAGCCACTTTGGACCATGTTTTGGGCAGAACCGTGGCAGGGATAAGAGAAATACCAGTGACCTCTGATGTGCTGCTGACAAGATTCTTAGAATTTTTATTACTGCAGGAGATTGATGACAGTGCTTTTACACTGCTGGAGATTCTACAGAACTAGTTTCTACTAAGACTATTTATGGGCGTTTGATAATCCAACAGATAATTTCTTCAAAGAGGGCAATATTGCTCACTGAAGAGCAGTTCAGAAAATGTTTGAAGCATGTGTTGTTTCAAACGACATTCCCAGATCTGCTCTACAGTAGAAGTAGGAAAATAAAACCTTTTCTTTCAACCCTTACAGAAAACTCTGGAAATTCTAAGATAATAAGAAAGTTTTTGAAAACAAAAGCAGTTTCCAATCAAATGGAAGTGATAGCTAGCAATTATATGCCAATATTTGTCTGATCTCATGGAACTGTTTTTTAGGAATAACACATCTTGATCATCTTTCTGCACAATTAATTGTAGACTCTTGGGACTATAAACTTCTGTTGCAGAGAGAGCCTTTATGAGCGTATTAATACTGAAAGTTACCATACTTTGACATTGAAATAGTTGGGCTGGTGCCAATGAACGTGAGTAGGAATTGGTAGCTACACTTAAAACTAGAAGTAACATAGTATTTTAGAATTTTCTGAGTGTAATGCTTGATTATAACCTAGTTGATTATAACCTAGCACATGCATATTTTTTTTTTCCTTTCAAAACCAGGATAACTTTCTATTTGCCTATTTTTGTCAGCTTACTTTAGTGACATCCCAGTATAGTGTGGGAGACTTCCAGATGTTTTCAAACAGTATACCAAATGCTTAGGCTGACTGGTTACAGTTGTACATGTATTTTAGGAATATGCCAACCGAAATAGAAATATACTGCACATTTGGCATCTGTTTTTGGAGTAATAAAGGTTAATTTTATTATGCATATTGGTTTTCTTTTTATTCACTGTAAATTGCTATAAAATGTAATACCAAGTTCCCTACTATGTAAATTGAGGTGTATAAAACATTTAAACTTGTAAATAAATTTAAGAATTGATGGCAAAATTGCACTCTCCCTAATCGGTTTTCTAGGGAATGTTCTCCCTAGAAATTCAGACCTTTTTTCAGTTGCTGCTTCAGTAGTGGGACTCGAATGGGAACTTTTCCAGCTAAATAATGTGAATGTACATTTACAAACAAAGACAAAAAACCCTTCACTTTTGAAGTCACTAAAATCTATATGGAATTATCTGGTTTAGGGGTAAGTCCTTGAGGTCTAACTTATTTTTCTCATTCAGAAGTTTCTTGCTATAGGCAAAGAAGTGAGCACAGTCTCAAAAAAAAAAAAGTCATATTAGCTGTCAGGTGTAAAAGGTATCTTTGCTTTCTGGCTAACTTAACAGCAGAGGTGTTATTGAAGAGTTTACTGTCATATCTAGATGGTTGTGTGCATGTGGCATCTGGGGTTTCAAAGAAACTTATCTATTTAGGCATTGGGCTTGACGTCTGGTGTTCTCAGGCATCTAATCATGGGGCAAGAGGTAGGAGACTACTGTATTGGGTTTGTGTGGCAAGGTCGTGGTAGGGCAGTGGCTACAGGGGTGGCTTCTGTAGATTCTGACAGATTTAATGCCAGCTGGCTCCAAGAGGGACCCACTGCTGGCCAAGACTGAGCCCATCAGCGATGGTGGTAGCGTCTCTGGAATAACATATTTAATAAGGGGGGAAAAAAACCTGCACAACTGCAGCCGGAGAGAGGAGTGAGAATCTGTTGAGAGAAACAACTCTGCAGACACCAAAGTCAGTGAAGGAGGAGGAAGAGGTGCTTCAGGCGACAGAGCAGATTCCCCTGCAATCTGTGCTGAAGACCATGGTGAGGCAGGCTGTCCCCCTGCAGCCCATGGAGGTCTATAGTGGAGCACAGATAAAACTGCAGCAGAGAGCTCCAAACTGGAGCAGCTGGATGTGCCTGAAGGAGGCTGTGACCCTGTGGGAAGCCCGTGCTGGAGCAGGCTCCTGGCAGGACCTGTGGCCGTGTGGAAAGAGGAGCCCATGCTGGAGCAGGTTTGCTGGCAGAATTTGTGACCCTGACCCTCCTAGGGACTCATGCTGGAGCAGTCTGTTCCTGAAGGACTGCACCCCATGGAAAGAACCCACAATGGAGCAGTTCATGAAGAATTGCAGCCTGTGGGGAGGACCCATAGTAGAAAAGTTCATGGAAGACTCCCACTTGTGGGAGGGAACCCATGGAGCAGGGGAAGAGTGTGAGGAGGAAGGAGCAGCAGAAACAACATACCCGGTCCCCATGTGCTGCTGTAGGGGATGAGATAGAGAAAATCAGGAGTGAAGTAAAGCCTGGGAAGAAAGGAGGGGTGGGGGGAAGGTGTTCTAAGAACTGGGTTTTATTTCTCATTTATCCTACTCTGATTTAATTGGCAATAAATTAAATTAGCCTGGGCTGAGTCTGTTTTGCCCATGACAGTAACTGGTGGATGATCCCTCCCTGTCCTTATCTTGGCTCATGAGTGTTTCATCATATTTTTTCTCCCGTCTGCAGAGGGCAGTGATAGGGCAGCTTTGGTGGGCACCTGGTGTCCAGCCAGGGTCAATCCACCACAGCCACAAAGCCAGCTCCCAAACATCAGTCAGTAGGTGAGAATAACCTCAGTTCTCTTTAAGTACACGGCCTCATGTTGAAAACAGGGCAGAGCTAGGTGCTTTGACAGACTTTGCTTTTCAAATAGCCCTAAGCTGGTGACAAGCCTGGTGCCACATAAAAGGACTTTCAAACTTGGGCATGATTCTGCATTTTCTGCATTCCTGAGGCTGGCTTATGCCAGAAGTCTGCCAGCAAGCTTAATACAAAGAAAATGCAAACTTCCAGTAAAAGGTGTGGCCTGCTCTTTCTGCTGCTGCCTACTGTGTGATGACCTCAGTCAGCTGAAATGTCACAACAGTTTTCTACATCTTCATCCCTTAAACTGGCTGTGAAAATAGAGCGATCAAGTCATTGGTAGCTTTCTGCTCTCTTGATCTGCTCAGAAGCCTTTCCTAGAAGCAAGGAGCCTATTTTTACTTCTAAAACATGGCCAAAGAACAGGGCAAAAAAGGTGAGAGTACTCACTTCAAGTAGGCCGCTCGTGCTACTTCTTTTTTTCGAAGGATGTGACTCCCATTCCTTCTGTCTGGTATTTACTAAGATGCCCTCCTCTGGTGTGGGCCAATGTCAGTGCATCATCTGCTCCTCTGGCAGCTTCATCAGTGCAGAAACTGCTGTATCATTTGTCATAATAAAAGCACTAATATGGACATTGAAACATGTAATGGGAGAAGTGAGGACTCTGGTGCCTGGGGTTGGGTTTTTGTTTTTTCTTAAATCTAGCTTTGTGGTTAATGCCCTGTCATGGAAATTAAATACTCCTGCCAGTGATACACCATATGGGCTGTAGTAACACTTAGTTTTGACTTCCACCTCAAGAGCAGATTTCTTCCAAGATTGACACTAGTTTTCAGTCTTTGACTGCTATTTAAAGAACTACTTCTCCTTCCATGAATAGAACTTGCTTTTCAAATGTGGAGCATTTTAAGACCTGTAACATTTTTTTAATAAACATTTACCCATTATTAAAGAGCTACTTTCATAGTAGAATATTCATCTGCCTTAGTGATGAAACAACACACCCAGATTTGCTTTGTGATCTGTCCAGGTAGGAAGATTTTACAGACAAACTGGCATGAGAAGGAAACGTAACACTCTTTGGAGATAGAAATTAGCAGGAAAGTTCAGGATTCCTTTTGCCAAGAATTCTCAGGCTGTTGTAGGTAGAGGGGTTGGTGGTAGGGTGACTGGTGATTTTGTTTGTTTTGTTTTAATCTCCACAAAGCAAAAAAGCCTGCTGCTCTAGGACCTAGGGATAAAAATAGATATGAAAAGACACGTCAGCTGAAGGGCATTTTTGGTTTTATGCACATTAAGTATTCCTCCAAAAAAGTTTCATGCTTGATTTCATTTTGCTTTTACAAAGGAATGTATGATGTGTTTTAATGATGACTGTAGTTGTTACTCTTTAGAGCATCTCTGTAAAGGTTTTATTTTCATCCATCACTGCAGTATCTGAGCAACTAACATAAAGTAGTACTGATATATTCACAGCAAAGTTTCAGGTGATCTCCATGTGGTCTCTGGCACTTTTTTCCCCCCCCCCAGTTTGAGAGGGCATGCACAGAATCAAAATTTGAGGATTTCTGTGGTTTGATTTTAATTTCCTTTTTTGTGGTAACTTGGTTAATAATGGCTTTTGGACAGAAGGTTGCCAGCGTTCTTTGATAAATGCTTCTGTTGCATTGAAGATTCAACCAATATTGAGTAACTGCTTGCATGATTTCTTCTTCACTGTCCATGATTTATTTTGAGCTTTGTTATATAGCTTTCATAATGACTCTAATGCCTGTGAACCATGATTCACTGCTCTGGAAATCAATATCGG